GAAGGAGGCCCCGCCCCTTGGGCGCCGCTGGCCCGCCCCCTTCCCGGCATCTCATTAGCATAGATTAACGCTGGGGGAGCTGGAGCGCCGGTGCAGAAGCGCCGGGCGAAGAGGGAGCGAGCGAGACCGGAGGGGAAAGCTAGCTAGCTGGCAGCCGCGGGCAGGATGCGCTGGGCACGGAGCGGCAGGCGGCACTCGCCTTTGGTGGCCGCGGCGGGGATTTTATTGCTGTGCTTGGCCGGCCCAGGTAAGAAGAGCCAAGGACGGGGGGGAGAGAGGGAAAAGGTGGTCCTCCATCCCTCCCTCTCTCTCTCTCTCTCTTTATCTTTAATTTCCCGGGGATGTTGCTGTTCTTGATGCTCCTGCTCCGGCTTAAATGCTCAAACTCTCCCCGCTTGTCCTCTCCACGGGTTGGGGAAGCGCTCCTGCAGCGAGAGCGCCGGAGAGGAAAGACAGAGCCGGGGATGCGCTCGGAGGGAGCGATGCAGGGAAGGAGGGAGGGAAGCGGATTTGGGGAGGGGGGGGGAGAGGACCCACATGCGATCGATCAGGGCAGCCCAGAAGCTGGAGCTCTCTCCTCGGCCCCCTCCCTCTCTTCCCCCTCCAGTCTCTCCCTCTCTCCCCCCTTTTTTACCTTCCTGCACCCTTGCTAGGATTTTTGGGCCGTGCCTTGACTCCTTAGCAGAGGGGGCGCATGTGCAGGTGGGTGGGCCATGCATGCATGTGGGCATGCGGGGGGGGAGTGTGTGTGTGTGTGTGTTGGTGCCACGGTCGACGTTGGTCTTGAGAGCCAGCAGGACAAACCCTAACCTTCCCCGACTCCCACTTCCGAAGGGACGCTGCTCCGAAAGGATCGCGGCCCTGGAGGACAAAAAAAGGGGGGTGATAGAGGGGGGTGTCAGCCTCCCCGCTTTGTAAGGGTTTTTTTAGCCGTCTTCCCCGCATCTCCTTCTCCCCCCCCCGCCCTCCGCCACTCCTGCCCGCATTGTGTGACCCTAATATTCACAGCGGCTGCTGCAGCAGGAAAAGGGGGGTGTGTGTGTGTGTTTCTGTATATATGTATTTATGTATATATGCGTGTGTTTGTATGGATGTATGTATAGGGGGGAAACAATGGCATAGCTCCCACCCACCCCCTTTTCCCTTGTCACTGCAGTCATGGTGGGCTTTGTTAGAGGGGCTTTGCTGGTGTGGGTGAATGCCAGCTGCCCCCCAACCCCCCCCCCCGCACACACTTTGTCCTTCGACCCTTTGGAAGGGTTGGGGCACCCAT